TCTTATTTATGTCATATAATCTCTTCTCAGTTTTTTTCACGTAGTTTGGTTGTCGAATGTATTATTCAATTCCATTTTATATTTAAATACTAATATGTAAATTATGCTCCCATTAATATTTAGTTTCAGGGAGTAAAAATCCGGGCTAATTTTACAAGTATATTTTATTCATATTTATTAGTGATATTACCAAATGTAAAATTACATCATATCCAGTGTAAAAACATATTTCTAGGTCTAGAATTCGTAATTATTTAATACTAAAATATTTGTCGTTCCTAAATAAATAATTTTTGCATAAGTTCTTAAATTCGATCTGGTTTTGAAAAGCATTTTGAAGTATTCCTACTTATAAGTATAGTAAATTAGACGTTGATAACTTAATTTTCACAAATTAGTATATTTATAATATCACACACGAAATTAATAATTAAACATTCAAAATTACTAGGTTCATAATATTACTTACTCTAAAGTGTATTTTGCAACTAAATGTTGTAAATATAAATATCACAAAGTAATATACAATACTTCATCGTTATAACAATCACAAATTATGTTCGTATAAATCATAAATCATAATTATATGTACGAAACCATATTAAATTATGTTATATTTACAGTATAAAATACGTTAGTCATAATATTAACTATAAATACAAATATTGCAGTATAATTTTTAATTTTTCTACGTGATTTCTTCAACTCAACATCAATCTTCATCAAAAAACAATAAACTCCAAAAATAAGCCACTCGAGACCTGCACAATAACCATAAAACCCAATGCAAACCCACTTAGAAAAAATTCCTCGCTCGAATCTCCGCGGTAAAATATTTTTAGTGGCGTTTCTGGTCGAACTGTTATGCTAAATACTATACCACAGTTGATACACTGTACGTACAGCATGCAAGAAACCGAGTTCCCTTTTTAAAAGACCCTCGTCCTCGTTTAACTGTATACTCTAAGCTCAGATAATTAGTTTTTCGCGTAAACTAGAAAAAGATCGTCTGACGTATTTTTATTCGTCCAACCACAAAATAACCGCGAAATGGAAATGTAAAGCAGGATACAGTAGGCGACACGAGGGACTAGCTTCGTGGTCGCAATTATTATTTTAATCTGTGTCTCAGGAGTAATGACGGTTTTCTTGCTCGATTAAACACCGTTTCGAACGAGATGCAATCTTCGTTGATTCGCTCCGTGAAAATTATGCTATACTTACTTGAAAAATATTATAATAAATATTTATAAATTTTATAGTTTCATCTGTATTGCTTCGTATCCTGAAAATTGTGTGAAAAAATATTCGTGTATTTGAAAGTCAATATTTTAGGTGTTAAGAATGAAGTTATATAGAGAGTGAAGTCGACGATTGATCTTGAATAGTTAATGGATCAGGTTCAGATTCAGGGAAATTTGAAGATGTGGATTTGAAAATTCAATGATGGAAAAATTAGAAATTCGAAAATTTGGAAGTGAAAGATTGTAGAGTGAGGAAATTAAGTTTGAAAACTTGAGCTGTAGGAATATTGGAAATGAGAAAATTGTGTGATAGAAAACGGAGGAATTGGAAAGTTAAAAGAGAAATAAAAAATTGGAATTTTAAAGCAAAGAGAAATAAAATTTATATTGAGCAATGGCAATACTTAGCAATTAGAAAATTAAAAGAGAACTTAAAAGTGATACTAGTAATATTAAAATGAAAAACTCAAAACTAAAATACAACATAATTAGAGTACAATTGACACTGAAAATTAAACGAACATATAACCAATTAAAGCTTTAGAATTTTGAGTACACAATATTTAAATCTCAGGAATTTAAATTGACAGAGAAAGAGAAGTTTAGAAAACTCAAAAATGGAGGTCAAGCGAAACTCATATAATTAAGAAATTTTTGAAAAGAATGAGAAAATTAAGATCCTTTTACAATAGAGAATGCCTCTACAATTCCTAAAACACGGTTTAAAACTAAACCACAAACTCCCAAGAAAGCCCAACAAAACCTCTCTTTCAAAAAGGAAAAAAAAATTAATTTCTAAAGCTTCATTCAACCACACATTGTGTCACGAACCTTTTACTCTCCCCTTTTAGCGTTAGAACCTCTCTTCCCCAGTTTCCCAAAATCGTTGAAAGGATAATCGAGTAGATTCTAAAAGCGTTATTGTAGCCTCAAGCAACGACACGAAGCGTGCATGCCCGAAAATTCCGCTCGCAGCCGCTTGTACGCCGCAGGCTGATAATCGCCATCAGGCTCGAATCGGCATCATTGTCATACATTTCGTCGGCTGAGTGGCCCATCTGATCGTATTAATAATACCAGGACCAATATTTGCCTTGGTCCACAGCCTTGCGATCACCTGTGCTAGTTCCCACTGAATGATCCTGTAGGGTTGCTCTGGCTACTTGGTCCTATTGTTATTATGGAGTTTGTGACGAGAGAAATGCTAGAGGTTGACTAATTGTGCCTCTTATTACTATTGTTCTAGTCAAACTTAATATGGCCATTTGATTTTAATACTGTAATCATGTATATAGTTTAATACTGTTTCCCAGATGGATCATGGTTCTTTTATCCTCTTGTTATAGTAGGATTTGTGATGCTTGTGGTGGTTTCTTTAATTGTATATCTTATCGATATTCCTCCTGTAATAGGAAATTGTGATTGTTTAATTTGTTGTTTTCATAATACGTCAGGTATAGTGTATTATGTTTGTTTTATACTTTTGACTGTGTTATGATTTGCAATAAAAGAATTGAGGTAGTTTTTTCAGTTGTATACCTTGTTATTATTGTTCAGGTAATAGATAAATATGGTTACTTGGTTTTATTGGTTTCAATTGGTTATTTGACTGGTTTCATAATATAGTAGGAATAGTTACTTTGTTCTTGTTGTAATAGGATGCATGATGAATGAAATAAGGTTAGATTTTTCATTATGCACCTTACTACTATTGTTTCGGTAATAGCTTGAAATAATTACTTAATTTTTCTGTTTTCAAAATATGTTAAAAATAGTTGCTTAGTCTTCTTGTTATTATTCAGTTTCTGATAAAATGTAACTATCCTTTTATATGAGTAACAGATGAATATAGTGATTTAACTTTGGTCTTCTAATACAATAGTACGATAATAATGAATGTTTTGTCCTGATACTACTATAGGGATAGAAGGAAAGCAATGAAAATTGAATTCATTCTGTGTTTTATTATCGTAGCAACAGTTAAATGTGGTTACTTGATTTTAGGATTTTAATAGTATTTGAAATATGGTTAGTTGATTTATTTGCTATTATGAAACTTGTAATATTAGAAATGGTGGATATTTTACTTATGGTATTTGAGTTATTAACAATGGTTACTATATTATTGATTGTGACTGACATGCAGTTACAAGATTCTTATATTATATTAATGTGTGAGGTATAATTATTTAACTCTTGTATTGTTATAAAGTTTGTGACTGTTTTGATTTTCTTGTCTAATATATTGTCTAATATAGTATATGTTATAATGCAGAATAGTGAATCATTCTGTCTATTTACCATTATTAAATTCATTTTTACCTGTGACTTGAATAAAGGTTAAGTTCCTGAAATATTTGGTTCCTAAACTGAAGAAAGAAACAAATGAATATTATTAAGTACTGGTAAAATCACAATTTTGTGAGATTATTTTCGGTATTCTGAAGTTATAGTGATACCTAATATCTGGTAATGTAATTCTTGCTATCGTATGCTTAGTAATATATATACTACTTTATTTTTGATAACATAGTCTTTGAATAAGGAAATTGAGTTTGATAGATAGCTAATTGGTTTAGTTATACACTGAAATATTAACTTATACAATGAAATCAATACTAAGATTTGGAATATGTCTTTGTAGACTTATTTGGAAAACTTAGAACATTCTTTTGTTCTAGAAATTCATTTTATTTATTAATTATGCCAAAGCTAAGGACGAAAAAAAGATGAAATCAATCAATTATATGATGAATTTTCCTTTTTCGAGTTAAATAAAATTCGAGGTTCAGCGAAGGCGTAAAATTTCTGCGGATTGAAAGCTTTTAATTATCTTAATTATAGTGGGGGTTTTCAACAGGTAAATTAATCTTTTCATAATCGTATATTTAATATCTCCTTTTCTTCTGCAGCATAAAATTCAAATCTAACAAATTAACGTTAAGCAGAACGAACCATCTTTTATATTCAGTTCCATCCATAAAAAATTTATCAAACACTTCAATATTTGCTTAAATTTTGTTCTTTTGCAAACAATTTTTTTAATTGTAGATTTAACAAACATACTCCACGTTCAGAATATTATTCCAAACTACAATTTCCATTCGAAGATGATTCATACATAATTAATAAACAGATTAATTTCACGCTGAGCAGAGTAATAAAAATTTAATCCTTATCTGTTTCGAAAGGAATTTTCCAATCATCCACGCGATGGAAAGTGACGTTAATTAATTAAACGCACACGTATAAAATCCAATGTTGACGATTATTTGAAGAGGCAATTGGTTTATTTGCAGAAGTGTACGCGTATTTGAAAAATTTCTCAAGTGAGACGCGAAACATCTGTAGCATCGAAGCTTTCCAATTAAAAAAAAAAAGAGCAACGGATGGGAACGAAAATTCATGAAATCTCCATCAAATGGAAAATATTTCGTGTAAAAAATAAAATTCCTGTTTAATTTGCGAATTTTCATTTGAATATTGAAATTTTCAACTTAATTTCCTGTCAGGTCAGCCATGCCAGATATGGTAATTGAATTGAACATGAACGAATGTAAAAATGATCTTGGAAATCTGTCATTATACGATTAATTAGTTTGGAGGAGAATAATTTTTAAATTTGAACAGGATACTAATGTTTAAGTAGTACCTTTTAACTTTATATTTAATCATGAATTTTCAATTTATGATATATTAAACGTTCCTTGAGAAGGATATTGAGATACTAATTTATTGTTTTCATTTTTGTTACAGATTTTCACACGTTTTGGCAAGGTCCTCAAGATCGTCACTTTCACAAAGAACAGTAAGTACCTATTTTTGTGATTTATACATTACTTTAGTGCAGCAATAAAATTTAGATTTAAGTATATGTTGATTAAACTCTAAAAAACTCTCTACTATACTATATATATAGATGAAGAATAAAAGACATTGCCTTAACATTTGTAAAAGTTTCATAAAAATTATTTAATTTTCATCCAATATTTACCTAGCTTCTTACACATATTCAATAAATTCTCTTATCCAATTTATACAGAACTTTTACTTAGGAAAACTTTAAGAACTACCCATATCTTTTTAAAAGAGAAAAACATTGATCCATCCTGAAACTTCTTCAAACATTTCATTCAAATTATACTGTCTATAACCAATTTTCGTCTTACTTTTTACCAAGCATAAATGAATTTTCTTACCAAATTTCGATAGAACTTTTACAACAATCTAGCGAAGCTATCCGCGTTTATCCCGAAAGAAACAGTCTACACAGCCGAGAAAGACTGTCGCGTTTCGAACGTTCCAAAGTGCCTCTTGTTTTCCTCCTCCAGTGCAATAGCTACTGGACCACCCTGTATAGACGCCACTCTTGCTGGCAGACATGCCACGGCACTTTAGTACTTCAGTGTACACTTGAAGTGTATCCTGCCCCGACGACGCCGACGCCGTTGGTACTTTTGGTGTTGCACTCGAATAGAACGGGTGTCTCATAAACACCTACATCCGTAATCTCTCTGTCAATGCATCTTCAAAAATAACTGAATAAAGAGTGCATTTGATTGCTGTGGTTCGTGTTCAACAAATATAAGCAATATGTATTGAAGTTTAAAAATTGGATGAATTATGTTCAAGTGATTAATGATGCAATAACAGAGATTGAAATGTGAATAAATATAGTTGGTAAATAAGTGTCATGAATTTGCAGTAATGGTCACTGATGGTACAATATTGGCAAGGTGATAGTAAGTGTTAAGTACACGGAGTGACACTTAGATACTAGAAGTGGGAGTATTAGTATCTATTAATTTCGACTTAAGTTAGTACTCAAAAGATATTGAGGATTGCGTTGGAATCGAAAGAATTGTGGTTAGATAGCTATTGAGGAAATATTACACTATTCTGAAGTATGGAAATATATAATAGTGGAAGTGGTAAAGTGATAGTAGGTGTTAAGTATTTGGGAGGATGCTAGAGGGTTTTGAGTAGGTGGAAGTGGTTGTATCTGTTAATTTAGGCTTGGGTCGCAGGTCAAGACCTGTTGATAAACGTGTTCAATGGTGATTGGATAATTATTGATTAAGTATTATAATATTTTGGAATATAGAAATATGTGATTACATTGATACTAGAGATATAATAGTTGTTAGGTGTATGGAATGATACTAATGGATTGTGAATGATTAAACATTTCTCCAATAATGTTGAAAGTTAAGTATTATAATATTTTGGAATATAGAAATATGTGATTACATTGGTACTAGAGATATAATAGTAGTTAGGTGTATGGAATGATACTAATGGATTGTGAATGATTAAACATTTCTCCAATAATGTTGAAATTGTGAATACTGTTGGTCATAATAGCGATGAAATCAATTACTACTCTTTAAATTTTATTTCTCCTCTACATTCGTGAATAAATATTGTGTAATTCACAGTTCACGTCTATAAATATTTTATACTTATATTTATTTTCGGATATATACTTTTCCCTATTTTGTAGTCATAAAAACCAGAAAAATGTTGGTACTACTAACTATGAAAAACTAACAATGAAAAATAGAAAATAGCATTTTAAACTTTTTTAAAAGCTGTTACGTCAATTAAGCACAATAGTTGCATCTATTATTCATAATCAGAACTCAAAGTATAATTTCTGTTATTCTCAGAACATATTCTCAAGTTTCAGGTATTTCTCATTTTAATAGTCTTAATAAAATTCTCATCTTGAAATGTAGTATGAAGCAATATTCGCGCATAAACTTTTTGGACACCCGTTAGTCAGTAGAAGTCTGTTTCACCCCGAGGCAAAAATGCGTTACAAATTCATGCCGGTTCAGACAGCAAAAGTCTCGAGTATTTTATTTTGCGACGTGATAACCTTTCCTTCTTGCTTTTGAAATATTTGCGTGGCAGACAATTATGAAAAACAAATAGACCCCGCTACATCTTTGCAACGTCGATTTCCAGTCAATCAAACTTCTCCGTGTTTTGTGCATCTCTACGGAATTCAAAGTATTATCTTATGTCTTCCTGAGAATGAAAAATTAATGAAAACAACAAAATAAATCGACGATTACTAATGGTAAATATTAAACAATCGATTTTAATTAGTTCATTGAAAAAGACAACAGAACTATATTAGTCAGATTCAAATAAAATTTTTCCAAATTTCTTTAGCAGAATATGATCAGTCATATTAATTATTCTTGCAAGAAATATTTAGAAAAAAGGACCAATTCTAAGTTTAATTTCCTGTTTATAATTACTTGCATTCGCTTATACTTACTTACATTTACTCTTGTATAGTTAGGTATACTTATTTTTATTTACTTATACTTGTGCATATAAATTATTATTGCAAGAAATATTTACAAAAAAGGACCAATTCTAAGTCTAATTTCCTGTTTATAATTACTTACATTCACTTATACTTACTTACATTTTCTCTTGTATAGTTAGGTATACTTATTTTTATTTACTTATACTTGTGCATACTTATTTATACATATTCCTATTTAAAATTGAAAATATCTGGTAACAAGTTTGATCATAGCAATGAAAAGTGGAACCAGTTTTCAAGCAAATTTTGTTTCTCATTTATACTCATTTATACTTACTTATACTTGAACTCATTTGTATGTAATTAGACTTAATGTTTGACGTTTAGTACTTATTTCAGAATTATATATTCTTATACTTGTTTGTACTTACATATATTTATTTATCACAATTTTGTTTTAACATTCTGTCCATTTTTAACCAAAAACCTATACTTAAATCCCTGCAAGTATCTTCACTACATTTTTCCTAAAAATCTTGATCCCCTCACTCGTCCATAATCCCAAGCCAACAAATACCAAGCAAAACCCCGATATCGAAATTGCAATTTAAACCGGCTTCCCTCGATCTGCAGCCTAATTACTCCTCTTCCCCCACTGCTGCCACTCTATCCGAGCAGGGAGAAACAAATTACTCGATTACCAATTATACTCGACGAGCAACGAAATAGCGGGAAGAAATGTCCTCGATGTTAAAAAACAATATCGATGTCGTTCTTGGCGACAATTGGCCATGGATAGCCAAAAGACGTTCAATCAATGGACGCTCGATCGGACAAAAGGGGCTGTTGTCCGCGATTGAAAGGGACGCGAGATTTTCAAAGAGCAGGCTTTGAGACAAATAGCGGTTGATTGGCGAAATCACGGAGGCACGGCTCCTAAATTAAAGCGAAGACGCACTCGGTGTCCAATTAAACTTCCATTCGGTCAAGTGGCTACTCGTTCGTTCGATTTCCATACCCTTTTTACCAGGTCGTTTTTTCTTTTTTTCTTTTTTTTCGTTCTTGTTCCTTTCTCCTCGATTTTTCATTTTTTTTTTTCTTTTTTCTTTTTATACTTCTTTTTCTATTTGTCTCGCTGGCAGTTGACTGTTTGATTTTTAGGTAATTATTGAACCGCTGATGGTGTTCGTGTAAACGTTTATTTTTATGGGAAATTGATGAGGGCGAGGTATGGTTTTAGCGTATTTTTTCTTCTTTTTGTTTAAGGAATATGCATGGAATTGTATGTTGTATCTTTTATTTACGTTCGTCATGTTTATTCTGTGAAATTTGATATTATTGAATTTTCGATCAAATTTAGCAAGAGCGCGAAACCACGTAAAGTAGGTTACTAAATGCTACTAAAACCCACTAATGAGTAGAAATGGAAATGTCACAGAAGGAATTAATTCGAAATGGAGTACAGGTTTGGAAGAGAAATTCTAGATTCTGAGCTATGTTACTAATCAGTGAAATTGTAAAAGGTTCAGTTATGGAGGAACTAGCAGAAATTAGTCTAAATACCTATTTAAGTACAAAGTAATTTTAGTTGATAAGAATCATCGATAAATTAAGGCAATTACGTTCAAAATATTAATGGTGTAAATAATAAACATTTCATTTTTATTTTGTAATTAGTAACAATACTAAATCGAAGAAAACAAATTGGAATTTTAAGTTAGAAATTAAAAATAAATTAAGCGTTAATAATTTAAAAAATACAAATTTGGAAATTTGGCAGTTGAAAGTTAAGAATTGAAAATTCATAATTTGGCATTTAAAAAATAGACATCTAAGAAATTTAGAAATCCCACGTCTTAGGATTATAGAATCAGTGATTAAGAATGTAGAAACTGAGTTTCGAATTTAGAACTTCAGAGCTTAGAACATTAGATACCGAATATATAGAAACAAAAAATTTCGTAATTAGAAATAAAAATAAAGAAATAAAAATTTCGAAATTGAAATTAGAAATTAAAATTTAAAAAATCAGAAGATTGAATTCATAATGTCAGGATTATAGTTTCCAAAATTAGTGGCCTACAAATTGAATACATTAATAATTCAAGAACAAAGAAATCAAAAATAAAAAATTACTTGGAGATGGATGCTGTCTGAAATTAAAAATTGAGAATATGGAAATTGTAATTTTTCGAACAAAAAATCTAAGAACTGAACATAATTTTTCCAATCGAAACTTCAACAAGCAAATGACATTTCATCAGTTGTAAATTTACGTGTCTAAAGTTTCCCAATCGGAAGTTTGCAAATTCCATTTTCTTCGGCGACGGTAGAAATTAAAAATCCAAAGCGGTATTCCTCCACTCTAACGAGTTCCCGCCACTCCATTCATCAAACGAAGCCTTTAAAAAACAAAGGAAACAAGATGGAAGAGGTAGAATTTCAGGAGTAAGGCACTTGGTACTCGGTGTTTCTCGACATTGCAAGCTCGCTGCCTCGAATTAAAAACATAGGCACGGTTCTTCTCTTTCCTCCGCTCTTTCCCATGGAAGATGCCCCAGGGCAACTCGGCTATTCCTATTTTTCATTTCATTTCGTTTGAAACACGTTTCAGAAACGGATTCTAGCTATAAAGAGCCGGTTCGCTTGCTCCCTCTCTTTACGTTTCCGATTCGAAAATTAAATAACTTTCGTCCACAGGTCTTTCAATTCCTTTGTTCCGGTGAACAATTTGTACCTGTGTGTATGTATTTGAATAGATATATCGAAGCCTTGAATCTGTGATTGTGTGCAAAGTCGCCACACTTAACACATTCTCACGTTTGAAATATTGCAGTTCAAAATTCTGAATATCAATTCTTCTTAACAGTCGGTTACGTTGCATATTTTTTAGCAGACATAAAATTTACTTTTATTAATCTTTTTCCTGGTAAATATGTGAACTATATATTGTACAATGCAATTAATAAGAAAACTAAAATTTTTTCAAATTACAACATGCAACGGGTTTTCCTACAACCATAGAAATGTGTTCAGTTGCATCAACTATCAATGTTGACAGTTCTGCTTTTTTCTTGTTGTTTGTAAAAATAATTTTAAGTAGGTTTGGGCACACATAGTTCGTCATAAATTACGTTAGATACTGTAAGATGCATAGGATACATCGTTAGGGATACATCATTTAGTATTGGAAGCATAAAATATGTTTAGTGGTTCCACAATACGTATAATATATGTTATCTATTACTTTTTGTAGTGTAGGGTGCATTATATAGTGCAGAAGTGCTTTGTGGGTTATGTGATGTAGTATAAGATACATGGTTAAGTCGTCGGGTGTAGCACCTAGTATAAGATGTAAGTGGTGCGTCGTTGAGTGCATTATTTAGTATATGATGAACGGGATGCGTTGTACTATAATATACATAGCGTGGAATAAGTTATTTTGTGGGTGTATTCTCTTTCATATCACTTGGTATATAGGTATATATGATACGAATAGAATCATTCCAATACTAATTAGAAATCGAATACTATACTTGGTATGGTACATACGGGTTACATCATTCGATAATTTACATAGTATAGTTTATACAACTTATATGTTACGTAAAATATACGTATATATAGGACGTATAATGTGATCAAATATATCACTAATTGTGAGTATAGTATGCAGATGTGCAGATGGTGTGTCGTTTGCTGGGATATTGCAAGACGCACTTTGTGCGTCGTTGAGTATATCACATAGTACAGGGTGTGTAAGGTACGTTGCTTGTTTTGGTATTATAGGATGCACAGTGTGCGTTGCTGAGTGTACCACATAATATAGAACACACCATGTGTTGTGATTTGCATTGCTTAATACCTATGACATATAATGCATAATATAATTTCGTATTCTTATGTTAATTTTTCTCCATTATTGTCAAATTGAAAATTATTTACCAGGAATTAATTTAATTCTTCTAGTTGAAACAGATTTTTAGTTGTTTGTCAACAAGATCATCTCAATTTCATTTCTCTTGCATTAAAAGTTGAGATTATGTTTGTTAAATATTTATTGCATTGTTGAAAATTGATTATTTATATAGATCAATAAATCTAATGATAATTAAGACTATTATGTCATTACATTTTCTTTGTAACAAAAATTATATTTTTTATTTAACTATATTCTGTAACTTATAAGAAAGGATACTTTAAATACACAAATATATTTAGGATCATAAATTTATTCATTTGTCACAGTAGTTAGTAATACTTAACAATAACAAAAATTTTCTTAGTTTCAATCCTATGGATTGAATCCATCAATTCTGATTCCAAAAAGTGTCTTGATATCAAACTCTTTTAAATCGTTGCAAAAATTTTCGAATCGCTTACATCTTTGTGAAAATGATCTCGATTTGTACACTCGTTTGTTCAAATAAACTTAGTTAGAGAAAAAGAGAAAGCAGAGAGAATGAAAAAGAATGGAAACAAAGAAATAAAAGTCTGATGGGAAATTCAATGCGACAATAATCGTCGTCGATTTTCATCCGACCATCGCGCACGTATATTTATAACGTTAATATCGCCTTTCATTTACCATAAAACGGGGAGAAAAAAGGAAAAAGAATGGAAGAAAAAAGTACAGAGAAAGCAACAAAATACAGAGAAAAACGTTTTATTAGCAATATAATGCAACAACGGGATCGAGTTTTTCGCCGGTAGCAACGTTATTCAATTTCCATCGTTATTTGATCGTGGACAGGGGTGGAATCGGGGAGATAATAAAAATTCTGTTCCATAGAGGGAAAAAGTGACCGGTGTCACAACATATTACCACGAATCCAGAGAGATCCCCCTTTATTTCCATTTAATTTCGGCTTTATTTAATTTTCACCGACGCAAACCGCCGTGAGAACGACGTTCGGTTTTCAAAATTGAACGATAATCCATGTTTTGGTACGTCCTGTTTATTATTTCCGTTTTTAAAGGAATTTCTTTTTTTCGTTAATGAATTATTTAATAGATTTTCCTTGCGGCAATTTTTTATCTTCTACTCTTCACAGACGTAATGGTCTTTTTGTTGGGTAACAGATACATGGGATGGGAATTTGAGATTTACCTTTTTGACGATTTTTTAGAATTTGAATTTTCACGTGGATAACTGAAAATAGATATTCCTTTTCAGAGAATTGAATTTCTTTAAAACTGTCTCGAAGTCATATTTTTGAAATGGTTTACATATTTGTTGTAAAGAATAAAATAATTTACAAGATTTTTAAAATAATTCTTGTGTCTCTGTTGAGAAAGTAGCAGAAGAAATATGTCAATTAATTAATTAAACAGTAGTTTCAATACTTAGTAGTAAGAGTAGTAACATTTAATTTAAATACTTTTTACAAATAATTTTACACAATTTTGAACTGCCGTTACTAATTTAGAAACTTCATTAGAAACTTCATAATGAAAATATTAATATAATATTATGATATCCTATATAATGTTAATTATAAATAATAAAACGATATATTATTATTCAAGAATAACGAGATAAAGAGTATCACAAAAGATTTTTGTAGTATTATTCACACAATGAAGATGGATACTAATATGTACTACATAAAGAAAATTTTAAAAAATTTCAAAATTGACTGTACTTAAAATCACCAAAATATATATTATGGTATTGAAAGTCAATAAAGATGGCCGTTTCCAACTTCATCCCCTAATCCTGCAATTAATTTAAATTATTTCTCTACGTGTCTATTTTGTTACTTAAAGAGTAATTAACATTTAGGAACAACACATAACAATATAATTAGTATATAAATAATAGTTACAGACAATATAACATAAAAAGGACATAACACGTAAAAAATAATAACACATGAAAACGAAATATCTAAGTGTTAAATTAATTTAAGCAATTTACGGTACAAAGTAACGTAATATTTCATTATAATTCACACGAGTCAGCCAACAATTCCTGGAACACAATCTAATATACTTTTCTCTTTGTTTCAGACACTTTCCAGGCACTAATACAGTACGCGGACATGCTGTCAGCGCAAACCGCCAAACTCGTGAGTATCTACTATAACTTTTCCACCAAACGTACGCAAAAATCCCCCCCTTCTCCGGTCCCCCTTTTTTCGCCCCTTTTTCTTCTACATCCCTGGCGTCCGGACTCCCGCGTTTCCCGTGCACCACCGTTTATCCCCGTCCTCCCGTGGGACAGATCGAAATTTTTCGTGGAATACCAGCGGAAGTGTCATCCATTAGAAGGTCCAGGTGCCACGAGGCGAATAATGTAAATTTTAATCTCCTACCGCCTCGTTTTTTGTAAAAAAATCGAGCAAGCTTTGCATTCGAGTATTATTTTCATTTCTTTTATTTCTGCAGGAGTTGGCTGTATTTTTAAGAGAATTTCTTTTTACCGAGGATGAATCGAGTTCTGGTTTTGTTCGGTTCATATTTTGAAGCTTGAATATGTGAAATTTGTTTGAGAATTTTTTTTATTCCCTTCATGAATTGGTGGTACGTATATGTACACCTATTTAGGGTTCCTTTTATTGAAACATGACTGCAGAATATATCATAAATCAATTATTGATTCTCTTTCAGAAATAATTAATTTTATATATTACGTGGTACATTTATATAGTATATGATAATTATTCATATACTGTATTCATATATAATATTCATATAATATAACAATTAATAATATAACAATATATGTATATATATACCATATACCGTATACCATATACCATATAAATATATACCATATTCATTTATAATATACATACCATATACCATATACCATATAAATGTACTGTAATGCATCATAAATTAATTAATGATTCTCTTTCAGAAATAATTAATTTTATATATTATATGGTACATTTATATAGAATATGATAAATATTCATATACTGTTTTCATATATAAATATTCATTTATAATATATATACCATATACCATATATCATATACCATGTACCATATATACCATATAAACATACTGTGTGAATATAATGTTGTTTCTTTCCTTGAAGGAACAATATATATATATTTTCCAATTGATTAAATTTATGAAAAAATTAAAAATCCTAAAGTCTGCAAGGTATGTTTAGGTCATGAATATATATTTAATATGACACCAATACTTACATAAAGATATACGGAAAAAGGAAGAACGAAATATCATCAGAAGACCATACTCTAAACTAATGAGATTACGAGGATTAAATAACCACCGATCTCATAAAAAGGCACCTAACCAACCACCATTTTAACCATGTTCCAAAGGCCTCTATCCACTCGAAGAATTCATCCAACCACCGCAAGCCTTCCGGAAGTTGCGTTGCTTCCTTTCTTACCAAGGGATCCGCTCTATCCTCACCGCGATCTCCGGTCCGAAATTCCGCCGCGAGTCTGCTCGTTAACGAACGTTAATTCAGCCACTCGACGAGTGGAAATCCGCGGAAGCTGGCTAGCAGTCGACGTTTCCTGTAATAAACGTCCCCTTTCGTGGTCAAAATTAACTGCAACAGCTTACTCGCTGTGGTTGCTGCGTTGTTACCACAGATGCACGTCAAAGGACCGAATTTTTCAATCTTCTTTTCCATCCTTCTTCTAAGTACCACTCGATGGTACCCTGATGACTCTAGACCCGCAATTTTGATTCATCAATCTCTATCTTTTCTCCTTTCAATTTATTTTCATCCAGTGATTAATTCATCGGTCAAATTTGTTAGGGAAATTTCTGAGTCACTAACTTACTAGTAAGTTACTAATATAGTGCACAATCTTGTTGTATTAGATGACGATTTAGAATGTATGAGATGCTGAAGATATTATTGGAAAAATGAAAACAATAATATAAAAGTGTGTTTTACTGGATTTATTTTCTTTTTTAATTGAGATTTATCATTGTTATTATTTACAATGCGTTTTGAATTTCGATTAAAATACGTGAAGCATGTGGTTTATCATAATTATTGAACTATGACATTGATCATAACGTGGACGAAGAGTATTTCGTCCTATTGAATATATTATATATTTACAAGATAATAATTGTAATAGTATGTAAAAATTTGAGACCTCGTGAATGATAGTTATAAAATAGACGTCCTGTAAGAAATTTTGAAATTTTTCAAGCTTTTCATTTTTTACTTCACTAAGATCAACGTTACTAAAACCATGTCTACATATGATCGTTTCATGGGTCTAAAACCTTCTTCGGGCCACCCTTGGAAGTGTTCAAAGAACCACGAGAAATTGATAGATCGCGATATTTTTATAAAAATCGAACACGTCGTATTGTATCCACCCTAACTCCGCAGTTGGAATACAAATTTTCTCTTTTCTCCCCGATTTTGAACGAGCTGTTCGATGGCAAAGTTGGACGCGCGTGTTGGCAATCCCAGACACTTGCAGCTTATCTGGCTCGCTGCTTTTTTTCGTGGCTTTGTACAGATGCGTATTACTCAACGATTTGAATTTTACATAGGAAAATGTCCGAGCTGTTTGAAATTTTTTTTTTTTTTATTTATTGTTACAAATGGAATCCGCTTTCGGCGGAAAAATGGTGGAATTTAAAAAGAGGTATTACATGGGAGTATGGCTCGTGATTATTTTAATATGCATTTAACGAGCTTCGTTCTGTGAAAATTTTGGGAAAGATGGAATCGCTTTGAAAATACATTGGGAAGGAATTATTTTTCGTTGGAAATAAAAATTAGACGATGTTCGAGGATCTAGTAGTTTTCTTTTCTCAATTTGACAGAGCAGGAAGAAATTGCAAGGAATTCTTGCTGTCTTGATTGGTATTTCTTTAAATTTAGAAAACGTGATCAATTTTTCTTTTTTTCTTTTTTTGAAGTACAATTATGTTTTTGGTTGTATAGTTTTATTGTACTTTTTGAATCATATTTTTTACAACATTAATACCATTTATGATACATATTATATAATATATAATAAATAGTATAATGTAAAATTTAGTATAAAATAATATTATAATACTTCTTATATTATAGTATTACTATAATATAGTACAGACTATTTTATATAACATATTAGTGTATTAAATGTTATAGTATATACGTTACAATAATATGTTTATATTTGAACAAATATTATAATATTGTTTTCCATATTATATTTAATTATAATTATAGTGTTATATCAGGTATTTTTAATATAATAAAGTGAATAATGTATTCTGAGGAACAAAAATAAT